ATCTACACTACCTGAGGAATCTTCTATAATAATATAACTAATCATGGCTTTGCTGTTCTTGAGCAGAAAATTTTTTTTTCAAGATGATTCCTATATTTTTTTCTTATGCAAAACTTAGTTGACCCTCTGTTGTGCCCCCATGATTTGAACAAACTTGAGTCTACAATACCTAAGGTTGCTTCTGTATAAATATGACTACTAATGGCTTAGTTGTTCTTGAGATTTTTTTAAAGATATTTCCTATGTAAAGCATTTCACAGTAGAAAAGGATTTCTCAAGAGAAAGTTTCAGAAATATAATTAAGTAAGCAGTAAATAATTAACAAAGATTGCATTGTAATCTTTGGGGACAAGCAATTTTTTTTAAAAATAGATAATTATTCAAATGATTAGAATATTAATATATACTGTGGTGGAAAGATGCATTAAATCATTAGAAATAGAATGACAAGACCCTTACTAAAATTCTGTTGTGTATTCAATTTCATTGAATCTGTTGCTATTAGGGATGGAATACCTTAAATTCTTTATTGCTGATTCATCATCCAACTTCTTCTGCTAGCTTCTGAATGCCTTACTTTCCCAAAGCTTTGCTTTATATACCCTTTGGTTTAGCTAGTCCATTCCAAGGGTTGTCAGATCATTCCATTATTTGGTGTCTTCAATGCGTTTTACTCGAATGCCCCTTAACCAGTACCCCTATATATTCCTATGTAAAACTTTGACTCACTGCTGTGGCCCCGTCCTTTCCCTGGGGTCATGATTTGAACAAACTTGAATCTACTGTATGTAATGAAGCTTTCACATAATTTTCATCTTTTCTTGCCCAGTGGTCCTTGAGAAGAAGATTTTTAAATGATGCCACCAAATTTTCACGAATTCTTAATTATCTTCCCTTGAAAGAGGGCATGGCACTTCCTGTAAACAAACTTAAATCCCCTTCACCCAAAGATGCTCTGTGGCAAGTTAGGTTGAAATTGGCCCAGTGGTTCTTGAGAAGTCGAAAATGTGAAAAGTTTTCAGACGACAGACGGACACCGGACACTCAGAAAAGCTCACTTGAGCCTTCGGCTCAAGAAAGCCAAAATTTACCATATTGCAAGCTGTCATATTGTAATTTTTTGTATTTACTTAAATTAAAAAATTATAATATGACAATAATATAATTCAATCACTACTGAACGCTTGTTTGCAATTAAAAAATTGGCAAAATTGTCATTTTTATTTAATAAAGGGGGACCGGTATAAAATGTAGGCTGGAATCGAGAATTAGTGTGCGTAGTGTTTTGCCATACTCTCCCCATGGCCGTCTTTTGAAACTTAATGATGAACTAGTGATATTGTATGTTCGAGTACATATCAGGGTGTTGTGAATTCTCAGATGCATGTCGCTGGAACCAGGCAAGTAATTTTATTCAATGATAAAACAATACTGAAAGTAAATGGGGGCCCATTTCATGTCAAAAACGACTGGGCATTGTTTCTTCTAAAACACATGGGTTTTCCAAAAAAGAAAAAAAACCCGGGTATTTAAGGCGAGATATTTTCTCGAATGATTCCGAGGACATCAAAACAACATTTAACAAACGAATTAGAGACAATGTTCAGCAATATCCCTCCTCCTCTCCCAACTTTTATAGATGTCAATTTTTGTAACGTTGATATTTGTAATTTTAATGTGTACCATGGCGTTGAATAGAGTAAACCCATGTTGTTGTTTTTTTTAGAAAGTTCCCTTCTCAAAATTGCTATTTTTTGTAACCATGGCAACACTGTTCATTAAAATAAAATTACTTAAATAAAGAATTGTGTATCTTAGTGTACTTTACATGTGTACCAAATTTTCTTGAAGTCAGGCAAAAATTGTAGGAGGGAAAGCGATTTGAAAATTGCTGAAAATAGTATAGTACCCGCGTTTTGTTAGGAAGTCCCATTCTCAAAATTGCTATTTTTGTAACCATGGCAACACTGTTCATTGAAATAAAAATACTAAAATAAAAAATTATGTAATTAGTATACTCTACAGGTGTACCAAATTTTATTGAAGTCAGGCAAAAATTGTAGGAGGGAAAGCGATTTGAAAATTGCTTATAATTACGACAATCAGGCAGCTGTAAAGCCAAAGTCTTATACGGATAACGGACATTGCGTAATTGTATAAACTCTTTCTATCAAATAAAATTGACTAGTGTAACTAAAAACTAATTGACTGCATGCGTTGTTTTAATAGTATCACTAAATCCTCTGATATGGAAACATTATATGTAAATGTGTTAGATTTCTGGGATGAAAAAGGGGGAAAAACACATATTTTGGCAATTATGGGTCTCATTCGTTGCCATGGCAACCATGACGTCATTTTACTCTGCATAATTAAATACTTTAAGATTTTATCTTTCAGAAAATGTGTAGGTTGCTCTATGTAAAAGTGACTAGAAAATGTTAAAATTTCAATTTGAAATTTGTGGGCACTTTTGCAGAAAAAATGCAAAATCTCTGGTAGTTAAAGGGTTAAGACTCCTTTAAAACAAATTTTAAGTTAACATCCTCATAATTACTGATTGTGCGAAGATTATGAATGAAGTTGGCGCAGAAAAAATGAACAGTCAAGTTAAATTCTGTGTGAATGAAATTAATGTCACGATTACGTTTACTTATGGTTTTAACTGGCAAGAATGGAATGCTGTCAAGTACAATGTGTTATTACATGTAACAAATCTTTTAAATGGACTGAATATCGCTTTGAAAAGTAGTATTTTATTAATTTAATAAAATATGAAAAAAAAATTGGTGATACAGAGGAAATTCGGAAACTTTTTTTCTTCTTTCAAACAATATTATTCAAAAAAGTAAGATTGATTGTGTTTCAATGCCATTTTGAAGATATTATTTGTATAATAAAGTTCATGTAATATTTCAAATAATTAAATGTCGTGGAATTTACAAAAATATGATCAAAATCCATTGCAGACAACATATCTTAAAAATTTGATTTTTGACCACATATAATTTCTAAAACATTATTATAAGGACAACAAAGGGCAACTAAGGCTATAAATGGTTTGGAGTTCTTTTCATCAGATTTTGGAAATATCAGATTAAAATGGGTCGAAATTAGAAAGTTGATAGAGGAAATTCGAAATGAAATAATGAAGAAAGCCATGGTTCAAACTTTAATTGTTTACTTATAATAAGCATTTATTTAATTATCAAAAGGGTTTTGTTATTTGTTATATCTTGTTCATAAAGAAAATATTGGTCACGGTGTAAAAAAAAAAAAATTCGAGGTATTTTCAAAGAAATACTCAGGGACTGCTAGCATGAAAAGTACGCCATTACCCTAGTGATTTTAAAGTGAACAATAACGCTACAGGCAAGGGTCTATAATTTACAATTATTGGTTTTTCACTCCTATCCGTGGAAATTTTTTGTCATCAAAGTAAACGCCATCCTTTATCCCATAAGTATATTTAATTAGGTATTGTAAAAAATAATTACATATAGTAATCCTTGTTAATTCAAAACGGGTAAAGACTATTTCTTAAATTGACTACATAATAGATTAAAATGTTTATTTAATGAAATGTAAAATAAAATATAATTTTTATAATTCATCAAACAAATGATAATGAATGAAAGACACTTAAAATTCTACTGACTTAATTATGGTAAAATCCAAATCAAACACTAGGAGACTAATTGTTCTCCTCAAAAAAGGTCTCGTAAAGACTTTATTACGATAAAAAATAACCTCATATAAAATAAAACCTACTTAAAATGTACATAATTTTAGCATTCAATATTTTGGTGCATTATTGAACGCCGAGTTTGCATTACGTATACGAGTATGCACTGAAATATTCCGAATGCGAGCATTCCTCTGCCGACCAGCTGTGATTGCCATGATTGGGCGAACGTAAAAATCCATAGTATGGGAAATTTAGTATACAGGTAAGTGAACTTAACAAATATGCACATAACATGACAGTTTAGTAAATATTTCTGAATTATAGTATGGTGATAAGCTAGTATTTAGAAACATTTGACATTCAAAGTAAAATATAAGTATGCTCTAAAAAGTATATTTAATGACATTTTTAAACATGTTTTTCTCAATACAGTCTTATATCTTTTTTCTGTCATTTGCATTTGAAAGTAAACAATAAATTTATATTTACGGGATTCTACACCATCTGGGCCACCAGGAGTCTTCTTCATCTGAGAAAAAATAAGGAAGCAACGATTATTCCATCCTTCTCTTATTCGTAGCATTAAATTTTATGACATTCTTAATTTTAGAAGGGTTTTCTTAATCCAGGTAAATGTTTAAATCTCTAAAATGCATTTTCATTATATTGTCCAACAATATGTATCTTTATTACAAGGATGATTATACGAAGCATCCTTTTTATTTTGGGGGAGGGGGATTGACAACCTACCCGGTAAATCTTTGATAAGCCATAAAAAGTTATATTGTCCAAATCGACAATACAATTCTGTATGCAATTTGAAAAATATAAAGTAAATAGATGTCCATAATTCCATGATACATTGGGTTTGTATGAGTTGACTGCTTAAAGGTCATAATTATTAAACTCTGGTCAGATAAACTGTGAGTAATATAAATATTGTTTTACTTGAGAGGTAACTCTCTTATAGAGCGTCGGTCTTCCTTGTTACATTTTTTTTTCTAAAATATTCTTTTTTTCAGTAACTTTTATGTGTTTCTACAAGCAGATTTTCACAGATATATGAGAAAAATATGAATACCTTTTTTCCCACAGGTCATAGCTGACTTTATTTCTTGCAATTCTGCTTTCATTAACGTCGTATCTGTCTGTATAGAAAGTATTCCAGTTTTCATGGTCTCCATTTTCTCGAGGATTTCTTTATCATGCTCACACACGACTTGAATTTGTTTTATAATTGACTCTTGTTTATCTTCTCCCAAGGAAAATTCCTTAATGTCATCAAGTTCTTTCAAGTAACTTTTTCCTGTACAATTTTTTAAGTCGTCTGCAGATATCGGAGATGATTGACCAGTTTTCATCAAATTCGTCTTGTGAGGCAGAGGCTGAACTCACGTGACCGTACACTTCGTTTCGAATCAGTCGGATCCTCTCCACATCATCACCAACAGTTATCTCCCCTGCTGCTGGTAAGGTTTTAAAACCCCAATCATTTGTGGGCTTATCGATTTTCGAGCAGTAGTTTCTTATAAGCATATACAAAAGAATAATGTCAAACTTCTGATACCCATACTTTTTTGCGTCATCCAAAAGTTTCTTTTGTTCAGGATTTGGACCTTTAACGCCTTTTGGTAGTTTTGTTGAGTTCACTTTTCCATAAATATGTGTAGAGGGGATCTCTTTTTCTAAAATGTCTCGAAGTGTCTGTGTTAATACATCGATTATCGCCATCCCCAATTTAGCAAATCTAGTACGGTCGCCAAAAACTCCTGTAGAGGACACTGCTGTAGCAAAACAAACATTCTCACCCTTCTGAAACAAAATAGCAATTCATAATTAAAAGAAAATTCCTTTATTCTACAGATATTGCTGAATTTTCAGGTAAAGAAAAATACCTCTTAAAAGTACGATTGTACAAAAAATGGCAATTAAAAAGTTTTGTTTTTATATAGTAAAATATTTTAGATTTATCAATAATAAAGAGACGGATTTGTCTACAGCAATGTCGTAACAGTTTCAATGTATATTTTAAGATTTGTAGCTCCAAAGACAATCTACATTTCAGATATAATCCTAAATCTTGGTCATGACATATCACCTCAATTCGAGCATACCACAAAGAAAGACAAAAAAGATCCTCACTGTATGTACCAAAACTTACCTCTCTCCAGAATGCTAAAGTCCACCGTACGTTTATTTCATGTTTTTCCTTTCCAACTGGGCAATTGCACTGAATCCCGGAGAGTTCGTTTTCTGGAATGAATGTTGTATCCAATTTACTACAGAAAATGTTGAGACATTTATAACCCTTTTGGAAGGATTGTTTTTCAAATGAGTTTGTCAATTCTGTTAAGGCATTTTCAACAGTTTTCCCAATGAGGCAGGAATCTTTGGGTTGAAGGTTTTTGATTCTCAACACTTGAACCTGGATGTCGTTCTCAAAAATACCAACAAGAACTGTGTGATTTCTGGTTTCAAAATTGCTGCTGTGTGATACAGACATGGACTATTGTCATTATCCATCTGCACTTTCCACCTTAGGAAACTCATGCAATACGCAATAAGTCTGTAATATATGAACAAGGCAAAGGATTTAAATCGAAAACACAAAACAGATGAGTACTCCCATTCCCTGTCTAAGACATGACGTGTGAAAGGCTTATTGTTCATGCAGGGGACATACCAAGAGATTTCGTCTTCGGTTTTCTGGATGCTGACTAACATTCGTAGTCTCTCCATATATGACATAAGTTCTGTCTTATGTTGAACATATAATTCATCTTCCCACAAGGCATCTATCAGTGAATTCTTCAGATTTCCTGTGGCATTGAAACTATTCCATTCTTCAATGTATATTCGTTGGCAGTCTCTGCTGATGTGGTCCTCGTCCGCAATTAGTTTACTGAATGCATTCGAAAACCACTGTATGTCAAGAATAACATGCGTTCTCAGTTCCTGATCATTAAAAAAGAGTAGCATTCCATGCCCATGGAAAAATGATAGAAAATCGAGAATTTCTTCTTGACTTTTCAATTGGTATCCATTTGGAAGTTCCTCATTCACTTTGTTGATATCGCTAACTGACAAGATTTGCTTTTCCGTTTTCTTCAAAAAATACTCAAGAGCCCACGCTGAGGGAACTTCTATCTTTGTATCCATGCCTTGCGATACAACCTCAACAATTGATCTTTTTAGACCTTGCAGATCATGGCTGTCTTCTTCACCCATCTCAATAAGTTCTAATGCAAATTCCTTATAGCCAGTGCAATCACGGAGCCACTTTTTATCTTCATGTGGTACTAATGTCCAAAGACTCTTCCAGAAACAATTCCGTTCCTGCATTCAAATTATTCCAATTTATAATTACCAAAGAATAAAAGCTGAAAAAATCAATCACATTAGTTTTCTTTTCTAATTTTTTAAAAATAATTTTGCAAACATAGAATTAACTTTTCGTTGTTTGTTTTGATGTATTTTCTCGTTCTATGTATATAATATCATAAAATTTCGCAAAGAATGCGAGTCGTAAATTAGAGCAAACATATGGGCCGATGGAAAACAGCTTTTCCTCCAATAAACGGAGTAATCCGTAAAACAATCAACTAACAAGTGCTACATAAACAATAGCAATCGAAGATAGAAAGGTGGAAGTCCTCACATCACATTTATCATAACGTTTTGGTGTAAGGTTGTTATTAATGTCCTTTTCAAGTAAAATATTCAATATGAAATAGGTGTGTTATATCAATTAACAATAGTCACTTCCAGTCTTACATTGATTATACATATTCCTTTGAACTTGAAACAAGACACCACAGAGTCTGACCCATCTATTTCATATTTGAATATTTACTAAAAGGACATAAATGGCAACTAAGCAACAAAACATTATGATACATGTGATGTAATGACTTCAAATTCCCTATCAACAAAATCCCTTGTTTATGTAGCACTATTCTATTATCACCTGCATATGGAGATTAAGTAGCTCTGTTGATTCGGCACTTAAGAATATCCAATCCTCAGCCAGGAAGGATTACTTTTTAATTTATTATTTTAATCAAAAAGTCTCAAAATGAAACTTGAAATTGAAATCTTTTCATACAACAATTTTCATTTTATGCATCTCAGTGTGATTTAAGGTTCTTTGAAGTCTTAAAATTGGTCTTATAAAAAGTTTATATATCTGTACCCAATAAAAGTATAATTTAACAAAATCCAGTTTCCTTTAATCTAGCCTTGGATACCTGTGTTCCTTGGCATGTCATGCAATTAAAAATGATTTGTGGTGTTTTGCAATTATAGGAAACCCTTAATACACTCTACAGTATTAAATATTTGAAGAAATAGAAGAAATGAAGTACCATTTAAATGCAAAAATTATGCAATTTTCTTCAAATGCCTGAATAGCTATAGTTTTTTTTATCCTAACATATATTTGTTGATCAATTTTCAATGCATGGTAGGTGTTTTTATTCGCATTTACTGAAAATATATTTGAGATTTACTTATTTTACCTATATAATATGATTAACATTAATGATGAAGTTTGAAGAATTTCCATGGATAAATACTTATAAATTTGAAAATTCTGAGATATTTTTGTGAGCATTTTCAATTATTCCACGTCTGATTTTAAGAACCCGAGGATTGGAGTACCCTAAGAGCATGCTTTACGTAAGCACATGGCAAGCTACAAACAACAATTAAGTTGATGATACAAAGATATCAACGGTCCTGTTTAAAGCTAGCAGCATTTCGCAAGATCTATGGTCGCTACAATGATTTTTCAGCAAATACAACTCATCATTAAGTCGAATGCTGACTGACGTTTTTCATACGTATAGTTAGGCCATTATTTACATGACAAGGAGCACGTGGGTGTGACAGGTCGACTGGGGATATTGACGTCTCCATGGCACTTAATCTCTGATAATTTTAGAGGACTGTGTTTGCTCTGCTCCCGATTTGTATTGTGTTAATGGACCTTAAATCTACATTACTGGTCGTTATCTCCATATTTCACTTGTAAGCAATGACAGGTCGTACAAAATCTATTCTGAAAATGAAGTATTTCTGATCTTAGAATTAAACAATTGAAAAAAAAAAAAAATAGAGAAAGTTCGAGTAGGCCGATATCTTTTTTGTTTGGATTTCTCATCTCAAGTTGGTATTCTACCTAAAAAGAAAAAAAATGTGAAAGAAGGCATTGCATGATTTCCACATGCAATGTCAAGGGACAGTTGATGACCTTCAACTGACATTGCTGATAAATAAAAACTATCAAATCTAATTAAATTGTTATTAACTTATGGTAATGTTGCCTTCTCCAATTTGTTGGAATTTTGTATTTCTTTTAAATACAATAAATTTAAGAGAGAAAAAATTTATCTTTTAACCATGTTATAGACAAAGAGAATTTGTTATCACGTGATCACATTTATGATGGAATATTGTAAATCATCATTACTCTCTACAATATATTTTTGAAACTTTCATAACATTTGTTAATACCTTTTTTACTTTGCTCTCTGCATGTGTAGCCACAGCAAGTATCTTGGGACTGGTTCCACCAAACGTTTTTATGGATTCAAGCCAGAAGTATAGGTATTCTAATAACAATGTACATCAATTAGTATTTTTAAGCTCGTATTTTTTGGTTGTGTTAATCAAAATCAATTTCGCTGTTAGAGTATTCAGGCATTGTCATTTTTGCGTGCAAATGATAAAAAGAATTAAACAAATTTAACATAAAGTGAAATTATGAAAAATGAATTTATTTTTTATCTCGTTATAGGCACATGGCTTGGCTAATCCCCCAGTTTCTCTGAATGGAGAAAAGGAATATACTATTAAGATTCTTGACCAAGAGCAATAAAATCGGTAACTTTGAAGTAGATACGTAAAAGAACTCTGGTAACTTTGAAGTAGATACGTAAAAGAACTCTGGTTTAAAACTCCTGTGGTGGAGAGATGGGGACTCGAGCCATAAATAATACTTTTGTAGATATACCTTGATTAAAGGGTGATGCCAAAGTGAGGTTCATTGGTCAACGGACAGAACTACGGACCAAGCGTAGGTGGCAAGGCAATAGTAGTTAAGCCAATAAAAAGTACTTTTGTATCCGGGACCATGAATACTGAGCATCAAATATCCTGTTTGCTGAAACACGCATCTTTTTTTTTTTGTCTCATTTTTCGAACTTTTTTTCTTTTATTACTTTTGGGTTCTAGTTCTTAGTTCTTCCTGAATATCTTGGATTTATCTTTTGTTGTAAGAAGTGCGTTGGTCTATTCTGATGAACGTCTAGGACTTATAATTAAAACTCTACACGAACACAGTGTTTTAATAAACTTTTGTAAAAGATACAAACTCTTTGTTATTGGCTTACATGTGCAATAAATGCGAAATTAATTGAGACATCTATCACAGTTGTGATTAATCTTAAACTTTGACTATAGTGATCAATTTGACAATTTGATTTACTTTGAAAAGTATGATTAATTATAGTGATGACTTGCAACTTTGATTTACTATAGTAAACTATTATATAGTTAGGGATAGTTAGGTATGAGGGAAATAGCAAGGGAGAAAACTATTTCCTAAGGCGGCGGAAATTCAATTGATATATCCCGAGTACCAATTCCATAACTGTTTTACTTTATTTAACCAAAAATCGTAGGAAATCTATTAACCTAGAGACTCAGCCATTTTTAAAACAATAATCACAAATGCATGTGAATAAAATTTTGAAAATAATATTATCTTAAAAAATATAAAATATTTTAACTGATATTTCAAAGGATTATCGTTGTCCTCATTTTGGTAGAATTCCATTATGATTTTGACATTGCATGTCGAAATGTTTTGACGTCATAGTTACATTCCTTATAACATTACGTCACAGACTTGAATTTCCTTGAACGCTCCGCCCAGTTTTCATTTTAATTGGTTAAAATTATTTAAGAAATAAACAACAATGTTAAAAAGTTCTCTGGGAAATGAACTTGGTTGGTCACGTGATCAAATCCTGTGAAGCCCGAAGGGCTTCTCAGAAGATTTGATCACGTACCAACCAAGTTCATTTCCCAGTGAACTTTTTAACATTGTTGTTTATTACTTTTATTTACATTTGAGAAGAAAATTCTGAAAAGAACTGCATTTATTACACAAACGGCCCGCCGTATTGCTATGTTGTGACGCGCAATGACCTAGAAGCTGTTTGGTCGTGAGAGTTCGCCTTGCTCCAAGATTTGAATACTTACATTTATGTTCAGCAGTCCAGTTCAGGAAACATCTGTTCATAATGAAAAAAACCATGATCGCTACTGAGAATAATCTTACTTTTACTGTATAAGTTCTAAATATATGAAGTCAAAATCGGTGGTATCGTCTTCAGTTTACATACCTTCAAAGGAATTTCGGGTTAAAAAGGTAAGCGTGATTTTAGGCTAATAACACATTCTTCACACCGAAGAAAGAACTAATGATCATTTGTTGAACGAAAAAAACATATATGTTTCAATAATTTTATCTTTTTCATCGCTTTAACGGCTTAGAAGTTCTGAAACCAGTGTCACCGTGACAGAAATATGTAGACAAGATATCATCTCGCTGTGTGATTCGGTCACGCCATGACCTCTGACCCCCTAATAAGTTCATACAGAATTGAACATATTTTCTTTTCAATAGGTTCATCTAAGAAAAATATTTGCAAATGTAAATAATAATAAATATTCATGAGGGAGTAGTCCAAGGGAGAAGCTCTGATTTTTAAAGGAGTAGTTCTTGAGGTATAATAACGTAAACTATAGTATTCTGTAGTATTTTTTTTTGTTAGGGTATCCAACTTTTTCATTTCTAAAGCTTCGAAATTGTGAAATTTGAATATGACTATTATAAGCAAAATCACAACCAAAAACATACAAAGACCCCCACTTTCGAAGCCTTACTAATTGGGATGCAGTGAGTTGTGACATATTGAAATTGTTTTGTCTATCTTTGCCTGTCTGTTCATTATGCCTAAAACAGTTTGCATTATGATAGTAATAAGCTCATCCTGTCTCTTTCAGTCCAAATGTTATGGTCAAGGTTAAAATTACTGAAAGCAGGTAAAA